TTTTTACATCAAAACCAGCGGTATCGATGCACTGTTATATTATTCTTATATTCTACAAATATGACTAATATGAGACAATTGAAGATGCATCTTCAATTAAAACGACATTAGATAATGAATATTTCAAATTGTATAGATTGTTAATGCGTTTTAAAAGATAAATAAATAAAAATAATTTTCAGTTTGGCGCCCTGGGCAGTGGCCCAGGTCGCCCATAGCTTTCGCCGGCCCTGAGTAACCTTGTAAAAAACGCCAAGTATCAAGCCAATAAGCCATCGGACCGGAAATCGAAACCACTGAGCTACCCAACCACACAGACCAACGATGCTGTCTTTCCCATGTAACGGCATTGGTGATGGTGATCAGTTTTTTTTTCAAAGTTTCTAACCTAACCAAATGTTTGGTATCATGCTCATGCAATAAGCGCTATTTCGCGGAGGTACCAAGAGCAAACAGTTTACTAAAACCCGTTTTGGCGATAATTTTATGTCAAAACTGTTTACTGTTTACTAAAATGTTTGGTGCTATGGCCCAGGGGTTAAAGTGGGGGGGGGCGCAGGAGGACTCAGTCCCCTTACCTCTGACGGCGGTTAAAAAGCGTCCCCTTTAACAAATTAGGATTTTATACATTAGAAATTATACATAAAATTATATATGGAACGCTTAAAACTATATGGAGACATTAGTCCCCTCTGGAATTTTTTCCCACTTTAACCTCACTAAACGACTATTTCAAGTTGTTTAGTGTTTCTGGTACCTTTGATAATGCAATAATACATTCGATCATTTGATACAACCACGATTTAAGATAGTACTATATAGATACAATCTTAAATCGTGGATAAAACACTAAACAGACAAAATAATTATTAAATAAATACCATTTTACCAGTTCCCAGTGTTCCCACTTACCAGTGAACTTATCACTTTTAGATCAAAACGCGTTTTGGCGATGAACAAATTTGATTTGCCATTCAGTAAACAATCGGCAAAGTCGAGCAAACTATTTGCTCTCGGTATCTCCGCGAAAACGCGCTCAATAACCTAATTGTAACCGTATATACCAAGAATTAAATACAGTTCTACAGTTCTACTTTTAGGCGAAAATGGTAACCAGTKGTAACCATATTAGTTACCACGCCCGCRCACGACTTTAGATGTGAAACAGGCTTAACGGTTACCATAGTCACGGTACCCACGCAGCGAAACTATGCGAAAATTTTTTTTTGTATCACTGTCACATGTATTTAAGTGCCAAATTCTTGACTTATATTTTTTCATTCCCTTTCATCGCTTTCAATGTTTTTGACGTCGACAAWATGACAATATTGTCGAGAATAGAATACGATGATCAATTTAAAAAAAAAAAACCAATTTTAATAAACTGTTTTTATTACCTACCGACCAAACAAAACTTATTCTCTTCGTTAAACAGGTTAATTACAGCTCTCCGTCTGCAGTGCACAAGAACAGAACAAACAATAGATAAGTGCCATCACACAAAATAGTACAATAATTAAGTGTCATTACTCATTTGTATAGAAAAGTCCGGATGGTTCCATTTTCTTCTACAATATTTTCGACTAAAATTATGTCTATTTTCGTCCAATATTTTAGCCAGTGTTTTAGCATTACGTTCCGTATTATAAAGATAGAGTAAGGATAGGATCACATTTTTCCCTTATCGGTTAATGATTGTACTTTCTGGTATCGGCTGTCTTATTAAACAGCTATCGAAAAACGTTTATCCGAGTACCACAGATATAAAATATCTGTGCCGAGTACTATTATAAAAAATAAAATAATATCATTATATACTTATGATGTCTAATCGTTATTTTCTTTAAACGGGTATTCATTTGTTGCTGAAATGTCTTAGTTATAAAAAAAATAATATTATAATCAATTTAATCAATTTATTAATTTTTGTCACGCATAAATTATTTTTATCGACTATTTTATTATTCATTTGAGGAAAATGGTCAAGATTTATTTTTTATTTTACTGAAGGAAAATGGAGACTAGWGGAAAACGACATTTCGTTTTTAGAGGAAAATGGCTACAGCCAAAAATTCGACAACAACAAGGCTTGTGTTTTTTCTGTGAAGTCGTTTTTGTAGATTACAAACAGTAACACCCCCTAATAAATAAGGTATAGGGCGGTTGGTAAACGGAAAAATATTAAAAACTAAGGTAAAATTGGAATACAAAATATAATATTCAAATTTTATAGAAATACGAAAAATGGGAACATCCACGTACCTATTTTTTAATCTATGCTGTATTTCTGTAATACAAACGCGGGTAATAAAGCTCTGCGGAAAAAGTCAAAAATCTAAAATCAAACCAATCGATACTTAAATTTTTTTTAAAGCGGACGTGATAGGTACCCACATGTGTTGTCTCCKTCTTACAAGTGCGTAACATTGCAAAAACTGTTTAGTGCGAGATAGGACCGCTCAGTCCGTAACCAAAAGTTAACACACTATAATAGAAGGTAATATTTTCTGTGTCGTAGCGTTTTTATTCGTTTGATACCTTTAATAAGAAAAAAATTTTAATACTTTCAAAAACCTGATATTTATTAAGTTTTCAAACTTCAATAACTTTTGATACATTGTTCTTATCGAAAAAATAAAAACGCTGTGGCACGGTAAAAATTCTCATTTTTTTATGGTGAAAATTTAGTTTCTTAGTTGTAACTGTATACTTCTCGATTCTTTCCCGCTCGAAACAGTTTTTGCCATGTTACGCGCTTGTAAGACGGAGACAACACATGCGTGTATCACCACGTCCGTATTGCAACGGATTAAGGGCAGTACCGAAACAATTGCTCCTCGCGCATAATTTTTTGTTTGAATTCGCACGTGTAACCTCCTCAATTAATTTATTACCATCAATCGTAAGACTATTGTTTTCTTTTTTTATTTTATTTTTTACGCCTTAAAAATTTCAAATCGTAAATGACCTGCAGTGGCTGCAGAACCGTGAACAATTGCGATTCGTTTCGGTCAGAGAAAAATACTACGTGGCCGACACAAGCTTGCATAGATAGCTTTCCTCGTTTCGGATACGCTTAAGCCTCAAGTGAAATCATAAATACATCGCAAAACCGTATAAATTGATAATATATTATTATTATTACACCGTTTGTGTTATTATTATTACACACGCTCGACGTCTGCTTTTCAAGATATTCATAACTGGACCAACAAAATTAATGTAATCGTGTGACTAGTTGATTATTTTGAATTTCATTTTATCGAAATTACCATCATAGGGAACATTTTTTTTTCTATTAGGACATTTAGACGTTAAGATACAGAAATAATCTTTCACGATTTCATAGGTATTTTACAAGTTTATTTTATAGAAAAATTAAATAAGTAGGTACCTAAAAAAAAAGAATAATAATAGATTCATAAAAAAGCGAATAATATTATAAATCCAACACAATACTTAATAATACAAAAATTAATAGTTAACAAAATTAGTCTTAAGTATAAATCATATAAAATGTATAAAAAAATAGGGCACTTACCATATATCTAACCTGTTTACCATTACAAAAAATTCATAATATAGACGTATACAAAATAATAAAACAAAATTGTATGTTGGTAGTTTGTAAATAATATAAATCAAGGAAAATGCCCATTATTAACACAAATATACAATAATAAACATTGTACATGGTCAGATCGATCTAAATCAGTCAGATGAAGTAAATATTTAAATACATATATTATATATATACATAAATATAATATAAAATTATTGTCATGGAAAAATAGGGGTTTTTTTTAAAATAAAACTAGTGGTGCATAAGATAAAGACCCGTAGCGATTTAACAGTCAATATAAAATATTTAAAATCCTAAGACTTGATTTCGTGAGCAAATTCATTTAACATGAACTACCTACACTCTTATTGTACTATTTATATCATTTTCCCAACAGCGTGGAATTCGTTCAATAATAATTTGTTCTGCAAAATATGGTAGTTTACTGACAACTAGTTTTAACCATCATACAAAAATACAAACCTAACATATAACAAAGCACATGTAAAAAATGTTTACAAAAAAAATAAAACATGTAGGTACATCTGAAAATACAACAAACATTTGGAAGACACTAGTTGTACATACAGTTTTAGAAACGTGAGTATAATCTGAATGCTGTAGTTTAAGTAAAAATTCAAAAATCACATGTTCATAAGGCACTTTGGAAGCTCACAGTGAGGTATATCAGTAAAAAAAAAACATACATAATAAAACATTGATACAAAAAGAAAAAAAACATTTTATCACATTGCGTTAAATAATTCATGAGCTTTGAAATTCGTAATTACATAATGATAAATTCGCTTAAGTACTAAAACTTATAAAAATAATTAATACTAGAGAATAAACTTATATATAAGTTAAAATGATTCAAGTTTATCATTTAATTATTTATCTATTTTAGGAACAAGTGTCGCGGTTAATCCTTAAATACTGCATACATAATATTAATATTATATAAAATAATACGCACACTGTTCTACAATTACATAAGAAAAAAAATACAACTTAACATAAGACACATGCATATAACATTTTTTATAAAAACATAGTTTCAAAAACATCTGGTCATACAATGAGGACAACATTATTCATATAAAAATTCCAATGTTTAGGAAACAATATTAAGTCATTGTTTAAAAATATTTTTGGACATTATACAATACACAATGGATAAAAATGTAAAACTGTAATTAAAATAAAATCAATAGAGTCAACTCAAATTGACATTGAACCTTAAAATTATTTGTTCAAATGAATTAGGAAAATAATTGTTTCATTTCATTGAATAAATTGGAAGCTAATACTGAACCCTGATCAATGAAGTTTCCATGAAATCACAACAATGAGCAAATATGAAGGTTTGTTTAATAATAATAATAAAAAAAAAATTAAAAGTAAAAAAAGTTAGAGAGCTTCAACTTCTCAAAACTTTTACATTGGATGTTGTGACGCATCTAGGAACTTACTCTAACGCAGTGTGGTACTTGCGTATGTGCACCCTTAGATTACCACTCTGTTTGGCGCGATATTCACAGTGAGGACAACGATGAACTGGCTCTTTTCCTCCACATTCAAATACTTCATGACGTTTCAATGTACTCTTCCATCGGTATCTCTTGCCACAGTGTTGACAACTGAATGGATTTGCTTGAGTTGTACGTACATATTTGGAATTTTGTTCAAAGTTTTTCCACCATAAAGAACCTAAAGGAAAAACTATAATAAATATATATAATTTATTAACCTACAGAATCGACTCATGTCAAATGACAAAGTCGTTAWAAATACCTTGATCCTGCATATTTGGTTGTATGTTCATGCCTCCATATTCAGTAAGTTCCATACCTAATAGAAAAACATATTTAAAATTTGAGCATTATGAAATATTTAACTAATTACTAGCAGTCAATGACTTGACTTAAATTAGTTTAATAAAATATCCAAACAACAAAAAATAATACATATAAATTCAATGAATGATTTATACCTTCTTCAGGCCGAAAATTTGTCATGCTGATTTGTGAGGATGTTAAGTCTACCTTAACAGTTGTACTTGTCGTACACATATCAGTATGAATATTATTTTCACTTTCACTAGCTTCTTCTTCTGTATCAGTTTTTTCATGTTTAATATCGCTCATTGAGCCACTAGAAGGCCAGGACTTTTCTTCTTTATCTCTAACTATTAAACCGTTGACTTCGGACTTTATTTCTGGATTACTCTCATCAGCTTGAACATTTGCTGATTCCACCACAGGTTTAGGAATGACTGGAGGAGATGGTATGTTTGCCTTGCCTTCGCCAGCTAAACTAGGTGCAGTGGGATTTGGCGTATTGTTAACGTCTAAACTATTAGCATTAGTACGACTCGGATTAACTGGAGAAACAACAAGACTACTAAAGTTCTTTACTGGTTGTACTAATTTACGTCGTTTTGTATTTGGTATAGTAGGTACAATAGGTGTTGGGGTTGGCAGTGGTGGGACAGTCATGGATGGATCAAAAGCACCATCAGTAACTTTAGGTGTAACAGACTTTTTTGGCAGACCAGGTGAAATATTTCTGGTAGCATTTTTTCGAGAATCTAGTTTTCGATCAGATCGACCACTACTTTCAGTCAATCCTTTAATTTGCAATGATTCTGCAGCTTTCAGGAATGATCCAAGTTGTTCTTGGGTAATGTTCACTTCACCGCGATACATATAGTCCATCATAGACCGCAATTCTTGATATGTTACATCTTTAAGTATAAGCACCGGATATTTGTCAAAATGTTGATTTAACAGCATCTAAAAGTAAAAAAGTACAGTAAAAGTTATTCTAGAAGACTTATAGTAATTATGGAACATTTGATAAATAAATAATATTTTCTTTTTAAGTATAACCTAATATAAGAAAATTGATTATAACAAATGTTATAGTATATTATATGTGTTGTAAGTTTTTAAAAAACCAACAAAAAATTAACTGTTTGAAAAAAAAGTCTTAATTAAAATCAAATAATTATACTTCCATGTGCATAAATCTATTACGAAATCAGAAAATACCTACAATACAATAAAAATAAATTCTCTAAACCAATCAAAACAACTAGGTACTCATTTCATTCAACACAATCAGAAATACAATTATTATTCAAAGTATTTTAGTTAAAATTAAATGTACATATAAAGTAACAAACAATATGTTGTGGTATTTTTTATTAGAGCCTAACACTGCCCAACACAGTAGGTAGGCTATTATTAAATAATAATTCACATAGTTTGTTACTGGTATCTCATAAAAGAGGTCAAGTTGACAAAGTGTATCAGACAGCTGTCTGAATAATGTCATACACTCAATAGTCTACCGGAACAAGAAAAAAAAGTATGAGCTAATTTCTCCTCACACATACAGGCTAAACAATATATATTATATTCTACACATTTATTGCCTATTGTGTGACATATTATTTTCTTTTTTTTACATTTATAAATTCCTTAAAAAATTCATTTTTAATAGTACTTATAAAAAAAATCGAAAAATATGTACTTAATATAAGTGTTAAATTTGATTTGTTCTGTTTATTCTATACACATATCATATAATAGATGTAAGTAAATTTTTAAATAAATAATTAAAATATTAAATTAGGTAACAGAGTAAACATCTAAAAAACAACTATCTAGGCCACTTTTATGTGATGAGCCTTCTATTATAATAGACAGCACACTCAAAGTTGGATGTACCAAATCAGTGAATGGAAAATAGAAAGGCAATAATAAGATGAGGCTAAACACAGTTATATAATAGTTTTCAACAAGATTTTCACGGTATTTGTTTATTTTAAATCATTCAGTTGAACTAAAAATAAATTCCATAAAGACCTAAATATAAATTATATTACATTTCTAGATGCAAATTCATAAACTACAACAATAACATATTTTACATAAAATTTATTTTAAATTAATACCCATGGCCATTATTTAATAATATAATAATTATAAAAAAATTAAAAGAAATATAAATAAATGATATTGTATGAGGTGTGCTTATACTTTATATATTTAATTAACTAATATATAGTATTAATGTGTAATGTTTTCTTTTATCACATATCCTTCAATTCAAATATTGTACCTAATACCTAAATATTATCTCAGAACAAAGAGTTATATAGATGCAAATACGTTCACTAACAATTTTTCTATTGATAAAAATTTGTACATAAGCGAATAAGGTAATTTTTAATGATTAATAGGTAATAGGCACACTATATTCAGTTAATAAAAAAAAAATAGATTATAACAACGCTTAAACAATAAATTGCAAACATTCAAATAATTAACATAAACATTTTATTCATACAAAAACATTAGAGAAATTGAATGACAAATTATTATAATTTTTAACATCAAACATATTTAGTTTATTCTCCTTAACTGATAAAAATAAAAGAAATAAAAGAAAAAACAAAATAATATATTATTTTGCTACATATTTAGTATTATGTACAAAGAGTATTTTCAAATATGACAAATAAGCTAAATATTCCCTTATCTCTGAAATATAATTTAATAAGCAAAAAATAAACTTTTTCTACGAATTATTTTTCAACATATTTGCTAACCACATTATGTAATAACTTTTTGTACTTAGTTGTTAATGTTAAATAATTAAAAAAATAATGTAAATTATATTACATTTTAAATGTAGGGTAGAACATACATACTAATTAAAGTGAAAAATTAGTTAACACTATACCTATCTATTAAACACTATCTGAAACAAAAAAATCATTAGAAATTCATGTACCTATTCTGTAATACATATATCTTTTGAATTTAGAAATTGTTTCAATATTTTAATAATTTTTAATAGCATGGGCAAAACTAATAGTAACTATTTTTAGTGTTTAGGAAAAAAAAWTTATCTAGTAATCATTGGGCAATTTATAGTTTGTTATCAAGGTCTGATCGATAATAATTAACATGGGTCTCAATAAAATAAAAATTGAATGTAGTATATAATTGACAAAACATGATTAAAAATTGTACAACATTTTTATTTTGAGTTATTATAAAATGATTTGGTATCTAGTAACRTGTTGAAAGTACAAGAGATCATAATTAAAAGATAGAAAAAGGTAATTCAAACTGTGCTAACACTTGAATATTACTAGATTCTAACAAAAGTGTAGGTATACTATATTACCTAAATATGTATAATTTTATTTTTTTGTTATTCTTGGATAACCAACTTATTTATATAGATAGATAGGTACCAAATTCTAAAATAAAATAGTATTTAATTTGAAATTACAATCATCCCAAAAAAATGAATTATAAAAAAATGTAACATAACCTTTTTGACACGACAATGGAAAAGAGATAATAATAATTACTTGATTTAATTGTTTTACTATTCTAAATTACTGAAGTAACAAATAAGTTTACTATGATCAGAATATTTTAATAAAGTTATAAGTACATAAGGAAAATTCAAAGAATATATTTTATTAGATCATTAGAAAATATTACGATAACAACAAACTATTAAGGATCCAGTGGTTTTGGACATAAATTATCTATTAAAAAATAATAATTATATTATAATTCAATTATTAATGATTAATATTTTTATTTACTTACTGAAATTAATATAACCGAAACCGTTTTTATTTCATTATTATTATTTTTATTATAACTAAACATTATGTACCTACATTTAAATAYGCAATAGAAAACAATTATAAATATGTACCTAACATAAAATGCAAAATATTTATTTTAACAAATTTTATTTTACATATATATATAATATAAACTATGCAGTGATCTAATTTTTAATTTAAAATCAACAATTTTTTAATGAATTAATATGATGTCATACAATCATGAAAAAATAATAAAAGAAATCAAACATTAACAATATGGTTACCATCACACATTTATCATAAATATACCCAATCTATATTATTGTGAATGTTTAAAACTAATGTATCAAATTAATTCTTAWTACTTGCTTGATAGTTTGATAAAGATAATAAAGATATTTGGGTAATATATAATATTATATTACTGAGCAAAAATATTGGTATATAAAAACAGAGCAAGTAGGAACTGTAGTTAATTGTTATAATTTAATTATCTGTACTAATAACGTCTTACAGGAATATGTAATTAAATTGCTCATTACCAGAGACCATGTGTTAAATTAAATACATTAACTTTAGTGACTAGGTAAATTAATATAACAAAAGAAAGTTATTATATTTTAAAAAATTAGTTTGAAAATTAAATTAAAATTCTTTTTATGTTGAATATATCATACCTAGGTAATAATTTGGTGATGTTTATGTTTGTATTATACCTTCCTATTACCTATAGTCCATACGTTACTGCTAATATATTAATCATAAAGTATAATGAAAATCCAGCTTTGATACTGTAAATTAAATMGATACCTACTCTAAAATACTTTTACAATTTTATTTTAATTGACTGTAGGTATGTGTACCCTACTGGTTTCAATTAATTATTTAATTATATTATATTATATATTATATATTTAATTATATTTAACTTTTTGTATGTTCATTTAGGGGTCGATATTTTATTTATATTAACTACGATTGAGTATCAATGAACATTATATCATACATTAATACCTAATTAATTCTAGTGTTAAAAAATTAATTTTTTGATGATTAAAAATCCTGTTAAATAATATAGTTGTTATTTCAATAGTAATTTTGCTTAAAAGTATAAAGCATTTATGTACTTACTACTTAGAAATGTTTTAAATTAGCTACCTACCTTTAATTGTATTTACACAAAGTAAGGTAAGGAAGCTATTGTTTTAAACACAACTATTCGGGGCAGTCCATAGGGGAAAAAATAAGGAACTAGTAATTCTGATGATGTCAATTTAAAAAAAAAAAAATTGCCAACTAAATAATTTTCAAGTGAGCAATAAAAGAACTTTTTTAGTTATGAAATATTGAACATTTTACATTAATGTTATGGAATTATAGATCCTAAAAAATAAATGTAATAACAACTTTTTCAATAAGTACCTACTAACAATAAACTGTTGATTATTAATCATTAAAATTTAATTTTATATTGTCATTCTAACATATATACAGTTTTAAAACAAGTTTAAGACACATCCAACCAGACTTAGGTACTTACATAACTACTGCTATCTACCTTAATTTAGAAGATTCTGGCTTTCTATAGCAAATACATAAATTAATAAATCAATAGAGAAATTTTTTAAATATCAGTGTTATTCATAGAATACAAAAGTTATAGGAAATTTCTTAAGAAATCTTTATGTATTAATACTTWAGTAACCGAAATCTTTATAAATTTACGAACATATAGATACTCATAGGTAGGATTAGTTGCATAAAACAATATATTTAATTTAAAGGTAATGGCTAATTTAAAACAGAATCTACCGTTCGATCATATTTATTTTACAGTCAACCCAAAAAAATTTTCAATTCTAATGGTTTTACTAACACCTCAATTAAAACTAGGAACAATTCAGTCCATATGAGACATCTACTGAAAGAATATAGTATAATAGTATGCTAAATTTAATGATGTTGATAACCTTTCAAAGGACCTATTAACAATTTTTAATGTTTTAATTAATSTTCTATATCATTCATATGATATCAATATAATGCACTCATATACACATATGTCACATTTACTAAGATAAATATGTCTTATAAACCAGACAGTAGTATTTTTAATTAAACCTTAAATGAAAGGATAGTTCAATAGATTAACATAAAATAATTTAGTATGTACAGATTTTGTGCGTACTATAATAGGGTAGGTACCTACTGCATAAAACATGGGTTATTTTTTAATTTTAATTTTTTAAGACAGTGCTTGATGTTTTAAAACTAAAATAATTTAAAACAATTACAAACTAACAATAAATAAACACACAGTGAAGTGGCATGAACAAAACTTTTCATGTAAATCATTAGACCGCACACTGATGAAGATTTAGGTTAGTTTAATCATGAAATCTAAAGCCAAATAATAAAAAGTCGATTTTAGTTTATGCAAAGAGTTAGGTTACAACCAAGAGACATCGGTTTGAAGTAAACATGGAATGACTAAAGCTTATAATCAATTCTAACCTACAGCCAAATAAAAATCACGTTTTCGATTCATCAACAGTGGTTTAGGCAATAACAATAGCGCCAAGAAAGTTTTCGGGAACAACAAATGACATTATCCACCATTGAAACAATGAAAGAAACAACAAGAACCTCGACCACGACAACAAAGAAAAAGTTGGTAGTTTCGAGGGCGAAAAAATCGATACGTCCTGGCAGACTCAACAGGTGCTCCGTGCGGTCAAACAACGAAAACGCGGCGGCTCAACATATGGGACGCGCCACAGCGTTGGTGGCACGGCGCGATAAAATTCGGGTGGACGACGACCAAAACCACAAACAACACGATCATTCAAAATCATAACAATACACTACGAAATAATTACAAACGCTCGGCGAGACTTACCGCGAAATAGGGGCTGCAGGCGGACAGGACGACTTTGTGAGCGTTCATGCACTGTCCCTCGGCGGCCAGGGCGCAGTCGACCAGCGATCCGCTCTCCAACAGGCTGTCGAACACCGAAATCAACGTGTTCTGATGGTTGTTCCACCGCAAGCAGAACTGCTGCTGCTGCTGCTGTTGGTGGTCCATGGCGTGACGGGTTGTGCGTTCAGCAGTGGTCACAATGATAGTAAATAATGATTATAATAACAACAATAACAACGATAATAATATTATAGTTTTTGGTATCGTCCGGACACGCGGACGGTGGACAGCTGCTGACCGGCTAAAACGTGGACGGTATCGTTGACCGTACTTTCCTGGCGAAACGTCTACGCTACAAAATGCGACGACAACAACGGCGACGAGCAGCCGACGCGAAGACGACCTGTTGTGCGCGTTCGCGTGTGCACAACATATACACACACACACACACACACTCGCACACACACGCACGCACAAACGCGCAAGCGCACAACCGATTGGACCGGACGGCTGTGTAAAGTAAACGCGCCTCAGCGGCAACACCACACGCACCACAAAAAGCGCGAATCGCACGAGCACGCGAGATCGCGAAAAACTTGTCGTTCGAACTTAACTCGAAGGAGACGATTTACACMGGACAAAAATATTTAAGATTCGGTACGTTTGTAATAAAAAAAAAAAAAAGTCTAACTGCTATAAAAATAATATTCCATTAGGCATGTACGATAAATTTATGATATCGTATCGAGATGATATTACATACTACCCACTATTTTATAACTTTTATAGAAATTATTATTGGTATTTTTATTGTCACTGCGGAGGTTTGAGAGACGACAATGACGGAATATCACGTCGGTGCGGAACGTTTCGTACTGCGGTCGTCTACTCGTCTGCGACAAAAACGTTGGATMTTGGATGAGTTGTGATAATTATTGCAGGCCGACAATTTTATGTTGGGTATAACAGTGGGTACCTATTGGACGTCCGGCGGTCCCGTTTTCAGCGGTGGCGGCAGCAGCACCGGCGAAAGCAGCGCTGTGGGACAAAGAGAAATTTTCACACAGAAACGCGGCGTAACGAAATTCAAACATACCATCGCATCGGCACTCCRGTGTGGTGTTCGGCACTTCGGTTCGTTTCGTTTCGTCGCGTATATTACCAAAATATTGTGTGTGCGTGCGCGCGCGCGTTCGCCAGCTTGCGGGCCGGGTAGTCTCGGGCCGTTGGTGGGGTATGACTGGTGCGGTGGCGCGGGGGAGCCGAGAGAGAAATACACGAAAAATAGAGAGAAAAAACGACAACAAAAAAAAAAAAAAAAAAAAAAAACGACGGCGCGAAACGCGGACAATAAAGTTTTTTTTTCGGCAGTGCCAACTTTGAAAGTTTGCACGGTAATTTCGGACCGGTCGGCAGTCGCTACACGGTGGGTGACCGTGTTCGGACCACCGCGCCGGTTGCCCAGAGGCGGCAAAGTCTCGTCGATGCTTTATAATAGTAAAGTCAGTAACTAAGTTGTCAATCTCGCCAAATTACTTAATATAAAATCATCGAACAACGCTAACGACGATATAATGTCGTGTTGTACCGTGTTTGTTGATTTATATTTTAATATTATTATTACTATAATAGTTAGTGTGCACACTCATAAATCATAATTGTTATCAGCGCGCGTAAATGAGTTTTTTTATTAATGAAACGAACGTCGGTGATCGGTGTTAATTAGTGCGGGACCGGGGGGGACGTCGAGCCGTCAATCGGTGGGGGCGGTGGCTACGATTTACGGATTCGTAAACATGACCGACAATTATTATTATTGTTATAGTAATAATAACAATAATAATAATATCCGAATAATTATTTCTGTTATCCGGTGGGCCGTTTGCCAGTTGTAGTTGTTCGTGGTCGACGTGCCGAATAATAAAATTAGTAGAGGAAAAACGTGCTTGCAGTGTGCGCACCCGAGGGAATGGCGGTTTCGGCTTATCGGTCACACTGCGCGCGTCGACGAACGTTTGGAAAGTTCGACGGCGGCAGCGGCTGTTGGTTCAGTGTTTACACAATATACAGCTGCGGAGATTCGAACGCGGGCAAAAAAAAAATAACGAAACAAGGGAAAAAATAAAGAGAGAAATAATATGAATTTTCGACGGCGGCTCGATTTTGGTGGGAGGAGAGAATTCTATTTCACGGAATAACATTCTGATGATCCGTATCGGGTCCGTCCTCACTCCTCTTCGCCGCCTCGTGGTTCTTTCATTATATTATTATTATATACTCGTTTTATTATTATTTTGCTGAAACGCGTATATAACACAATGCGCTCGAAAAACGGTATCTAATGTACTTAAATAATATTATTGTACTTGACGTCCTCTTCTCGTACATTCATTGGAARGCCAATGCGCGTGTATTTACTATTTATAAACATTTTTATCATGAGATGATGAATGCAGTACACTGTGTATTATTATAATTATATTGTGCACAAAGTACGTGTACCATTGTCTAATTCTCGAAAAACTAACTCGACGCTTACGTATGAATGTATAATATTAATATTTTATACCCCAGTATTCCACGCATCATAATATATTATTATTGCAATCGTAATAATAATAATATACGATTCGTCGGCCAGATTGGAATATTTTAAATATTTTGGAAAAAAAATGATGATCGACGCGTAACGTCGCGTTTAATGACGATATAATTTATTCTTTTTTCTAACGATTTACGGTGATCGGTGGTGTTGGACGGACGGATAGACATAATATTATATAATATTTTTCCACGGAAAACACGTGTTACACACACGTATTATTTTATTTATTATCCGAGATCGAAATGAATAGTTAAATCGGTGGGCCATCCGTTGACCGTTCACGTCCATTTATTAGACTTATCTGGACACGACGCATATGTGTGTGCGCATGCCACAAATTCCGAGAAATAGGATAAAAACTGCAGCGGGCGGCCGAAGACGACGGTGGTCCGCCGCGACGCCCCCAAAAGGCAAAAACGAGAGGAGAAAAATGTGTTCTCCGGCGCAGGCTGCGGACCCACCAAGGCACCAAATGATACATTATTATACGTCGTGTTCGCCACGCGGGTACGGTCGTATACAGGGCTCACGAATTTTCGGGTCAGGACGGAAACGGAGAATAGTATCAATAATATTATATCGCCGACGAAACGCGGCAGTCCCTGARATAATTATTCACYATTAAAATTAATGATACAATTTTATTTTATCAAAAATTAATTATTATTATGTTAATATTGTTTTAAACGGATATAAACGTGATTCTCCAATCTCCTCCAGTCGTAGTGCGACGGAACACGGATGCACAAAGCAAATCAAATTGTGCAAAATTAATATGATTGATAGCTGTGATTTTCTGGATTTATCTAACACACACCGGAATTTAAAAGTTTTTTTATTTACAAGGTACTGATTGATCTAATAAAATGATACATGAATAATTCTGAAAACTGTTTGGAATTCGTCGTAGGACTTATTATCATACTTTCCATTTTAAATTCTGAGAGGCGCGAGGAATGTATTTTTTTTTTTAATTTTCAACAGACAAAATATTTACAATTTTGTATGGATTAAGGTCGTTTTTGATTAAATCTAAAAATGCCTAAAAGTCAATCTCAATTAGTGAAGTTTTGACGAAGTCAAATCTTTTTCTGAATTCTATTGGCGTCACTAGATCAATCAGTACGYAAGAAATAGAACACGACTAAACTCCTATATTATGTATCGCTAAGCGCGTGTGCTAGACAATAACAAAAAATTAGAGTTTTCGATCCACGATATTAATTATATTCAATTTTTCTCATTACATGATTTATATTAATATATTGTGTAAAGTATATTGGTATGCTGATATCTTATCAATAAAAATATGAAAACAATTTTTCTGAAAACATATACAGTCATTTAAAGAATCACAAAAATGGTATCTATAAAAAATAGTATATTTTGTTTTAAATTGTGAACACTAATTGCGCCCMAAGTTATACAATATTATGTTTAGTAATATTGTTGTGTTTATTTTAAAAAATAAATAAAATTGTGAATTATTTGTCAAATGTAAATAATTATACTTGTCAATCTTATTTTAGGAACCACTAATGAACAGCTGAAGGTGAAAAAGTAACAGGAATTGCGTCTTGAACGCAATTCATTCAAAAAGATAAATTTACATRTACATGTAAAATTCATGTGCACCGTTTAAAACGGAGATGAACCAAAAATTAATTATTGTTGGATTGTATAACTTAAAATAACTTGTTTTTATACCGGTCTGAATTAAATGGTGAACTAGGACCCTACAACACTCTCGTCCGGCCAGTGCAAATAAACAAAGGAGATAAATTAATTTTGGTTCCTTTGTAGTCTTGTAAATTTAACAAAAAATAATCGTGATTGGTGTGAATAATGAGAATCGGTATTCTGTTTTTTTCGTCCCTAGACTCATTAAATCTTCTGGAACTTACGGATATTTTCACTAGACTTCTATTTTTCTAATAAAACCTACCTTTTTTAGGACTCCCGAGTTAATTAATCACGTTAAACGTAATGTTATTATCAATCTATATAGCTATTAATTACAAGTAGCCAGAGTAATCCGAGAAACTCGTGCTTTGATGAGGTGGACGAAACAATGACGACTATCGGAATACTAAATATTATTTTATACAACGTTTGCGTACAAATTTCATTCCGATCCAACCGCACGAATGTTTATAATGTTCGTAATAATAATATTTGGCAATAAATCTCGTCGACCCCGCGCTGTCGAAATCATAACCTATACCTGCTGCTATGCATTGTGCCGAGCCCGTTTCGAACCCTTGTCGAAAGGCGACACACACGTGGTAACCTCGCTATTATATTTTATACAACGACTTCACTGTTCCCAATAATGGTGTTTTGAGATTGGCTATCCAAATGTACAACGTTCGGATAAAACGCGCGCGCGCATCATCGTCTCTTGCAGTGCAGTAGGTGGTAGGTATACACATAATACACGTGAAAAAATCCACAGGTAGGTAGATAGGTAGGCATGGGTTTAGGGTTATGCCGCCGACCGAACGAAAAAAAAAAGGTTCGACGACGACGAAGTATCCAAAAACTGGTTTTCGAACGGGTA